GTATGAAAGTTGCAGATGTGGTGAAAAGACGCACAAGTTTTCTCTTGCTGTAGAAACAAGACACTTGCCCTGAAGACTGAACACCTTACTCATTCCTGGAGTAAATTATTTTGGCAATTGGATTTGTTTTTGCAAAATCCAGTTCTGGGTAAATTAAAATCTAGGTAGAGGCATGAATACACAGGTATAATTGCACTCTTTTTGCCATGATGATAGCAAAAAGACACAGCCACCACACTGTTGGATTGTAACATTCTAATGTCACATAAAAGATTATATTTAAAAGGTTTAAAGCACTTCTTGTCACTTCACTTACAGCATTTCCTCTATTCTGTGTTTTCTTGTTGCCTGAAACTGTATGTTTCCAGTCCATGGGCTCAAAATATGTAATATCATAATTAATTACTAATATTTGAACACTGTGCTTACAGAGAATAATTTGGCCATAACTCAGGCTTGTTGAACCTGCCTCAAACTGGAATGATGATGAATTCCAGTTTACCATTTTGGATCTGCCTATTTCTCACTTCTTCTTTTCATATTATGTTCATCTTTGTACATAGAAAACTTCCGTAGATTTAAAAATGCTGCAGAGAAGAGCAGCCCAGAATAGGCATTTTCAAATCATTAAGGATGCTACCATTATCTTGTTATCCTGCAGTATCAATTCTATCACCTACTTTATAAGGACAAAGATAACAGTGTTTTGAAAGATGGAGTTAATGCACTTCAGAAAAATGGACAAACTGAAGAAAAAAAGAAGGAAGAAAAAAGATAATTTTAGAAGTGATCCTCCTGTTGCTCTGAGATTTTATAAGATGAGAATTTCACTCGAGAACTCAGCTGGATCACAATGGATCACTCTGCCTGAGAAAGCTGGCATAATTTTTTTCATCAGTATTTTCTGTGGTTGCAATGGAGACATAGCAGTATGAAATTCAAGATATAATAATTGAAAGAAATTTATATGTAATAAAATACCTGCGATGTTATCTAGAACTATAAACATTTAGCTACTATGGCTGGATGCTGTTCAGTGATACTGCAAATGTTACTGCTTCAGGCTTTAAGCAGTATCTTTACCTGGATGAGTGATTTGATTGTTAGAGACTAAAATATGAAAATTAATTACTGAGGAATAAATTTTAAATGGAAGTTGAAACCACTGAATTTTTAAGTACATTTGTAGCTCTTAATTCCTCTTTTTATAGCTTTAACAGCTGCCCATTTAGCCAGATACTTGTCTGTTGGTGGAAAAAAATAAAATTATGGACTTGTATTTCTTATTAGATCTATTACAATCCAGACAAATATTTTAAAGCTGAGAATAGAATAAGAGAAAAAATTTTGAAAATAATAGAATTCCAAAATTTTCACATTTTAATTGTGCTAGAAAGCTCACATGATGGAATATTTCCTCTCTTTAAGAGGCAGACTTGTTGTGTATCAACCCAAGATGGTGATAATGTAATAGAAAAGTACTCTAAAAGAGATCTGCTATTAAAATAAAAAAAAACCAAAACATTTTGGTTTGAAAGGTCAGCAGTTGAATAATTGTGTGCTGCAAATTGAGAAATAAAGAGCTAATAAAAGCAGGAAAAATAGAAATTCTAATAATCTCCTCTGAGATTAGGGGCTAACACACAGGTCTGAAAAAGTCTCCCAACCTACTGATAATTCCACAGATAATGTTAAATTATAAAAGACATAATTGTTTGAAAATGAAAAGTTTCCTGTCATGTTACCACTATAAACCACATTGCTTTTCTTCTGAATTGTACTGTTTCAGTAGTATTTAAAAATATACAGCCTGTTGTGGCAGTCTGTGAGTGGTTGGTTCAACCTTTAACCAGTGTTCTGAAACTGCAATAAGCAGTTATAGTTTTGATTAAATAATAGAAATTCATTCTAGTTTCTTTGTAAAGGAGCTGGGATTCATGCACATTTTACTTTTAAGACCTGAGGGGAAGTGATTGGTTGTCATTTATTGTGAAAATATGAATGCTGCATTTGTGCTGCTCTTAGATTTGTCTGAAGTCTGTCATGCACAGTGTTAAATAGCAGCTGATTTCAACTACAGAATTTTTAAACTCACATAAACAGATCTAAAGTTTTCTTCCTCACTATTTGCCTTTTGATCAAAACCAAGGAGAACAGATTGACTTCTGAAAGATTCAAGATTGAAACAGTTTTTAAATTCTGCCTTTTTCACTTGAAAATTATTGATTGATTGATAATAGGATCATATAGGAGAGAAAACGGGTTAGTCTTCTACTGATGTGCAGAATAACAATAGACAAAATAAGTTAAATAAAATTAGGTTTTACTCTGATGGCATCGTAAATTGAATCTAATCGATGGAACTGGCAATTCCATTCAAGATTTTCTGTTAACCTCCTACAGAACTCTTTTATTCAGAAAGCAGTTTAGATGTTATTCTTTATAGCTGAGCAACAAAAAGGTTTGGTGCTCATTTAAAAGACTTTAGTTGATTGCTTTTTAAAAAATTAAATTGCCTTTCTTCTCTATGAGCCAAAATGTGCAGATCTGAGCAACCTCTTTTTAGTGATGTACTTTAGATGGTGGCAGTGCTACAACTTCATTAAAATGTGCTTTGTTTCAGAACTATGAGCCTGATAAGGAAATATGAACTCTACAGGAAAGTTGTATATAAAAAGACCAAACACAGGGTGGTCAGAAAATGTATAGAATGTATGTCTACAGCTCATAGGCCAGAATGCAAGTAATTTTTTTTGACTCTGACTCTTGGCCTGTCAAAATTACCATGGCAGCTCCATTTTATCACCTGCTACTTGCCTTTATCATCTTGATGACTAAGGGTTTGTTCTCTTCAATTTATCTATCAGTAAAATTTCTATTGTGATGTGACCTTTTGGAATGTGTATCTACAGGGAACCAGTGCTGTGAATACTGTCAAAATGCCCAGTTGTATTAAAGATTTAGCATGGCTAAATAGTAAGCTATGTGGAAGATAACGTATTGTGTTTCACCTGGGAAATGAACTTACACACAGCTATGGGGATGCACAGTCTGGGTATGCACAGCATAGCACTCTGTGCTGGGGAGGACAATCTACAGAAGCTGTTGCAACTTGCCATGTAGGAATTTAAAGCAATGTTTCTTATTCAATCTGGCACCTGTAATCTATTTAGCATGCTGTGTACTTAAAAAAAAAAAGTAAATTGTAATTTTTTCCAGGGGATAGTTTAGGTCTAATCAAGACAGGTTGCTTGCACGTGAACTGTTAGAAACTTGCTGTAGTAAACGCAGCAATCCAACAGACCTGGCAACATGAGAAAAGTGGAGACAGCTGAAAAAGAAGTCAAGTGGAGAATAAAATCCTTTTTCTCAATATTTTAATATAAATATCTTTATAGGAATTAACTTAACATCCAAAGTTGTTTGTTAACTGTAGGCTAAACTGAAACAGAAATAAAATGTTTGAAATGAGAATCTTTACTACTTAGACAGTGAATGAAGTCTAGGCTCCTAATGTTGACTCTTTATTACCAGACTCTACACCAAGGGTAGCACTTCAGAACAGAAATCTCTCACAAAGTCTACTTCTCTCTTAAATGCTTAGCACTTAAATGTTATTTTCCTGCCAGTAAATAAAGCAGCAAGATGAATTAACCCCATGAATTAGGATGAATTAGTTGCTGAGTAGACCCTAAATAGAAATATTCCTTACCTAAACATGTCATCTTTATCATTGATAAACGACGCAAGAAAATATTTATTGACTGAAAACCAAAGCAGCACATAAAGCCATTTTCTTAGGCTTAGAAATTATTTACAAAAATGCAACACTGACAAATATCTCTGATAAGACCATTTTTTCCTGAAATGGAAATTTCACTGTAACTATGGCTATGGTTTAAATTACCTCTTCCTCAGGTCCCATGCACAGAGTAAATTAGCTCTGGCTGATCTTGACTGCTTCAGGTACATGAGCCAGCTTGGTGAGCATGTTCCTACACAAAAATGTATATGACATTTCTGCCTACCCTTAAGTGAGTCAGAAAATCCTATTTAGACTTTTTCCCCATAGGATCAACTTCTGTAACTGTTGCCAATGTTTCGGTTGCTTGGTCTTTTCATCACCAACAGCCAGGGCCCAAGGTAAAAGCAGTTCACAAAAGAGAAGTTGGAAAAATTCATCATGGAACAAAGGAAAAAATGAATATAAAACAATTTTTACTATCTTTTCACTGCCTTCTTTTTACAATCTACATCCAAAGTCAGAAAACTCCTCAGCTTCTTAAGCTTTTTCTCCATTTGTATCTCCCTAGAGGGAGACTTTCAAGTCCTTTCAACTAATTCTTTTGCCTTTCTCTATATAGGGTGCTCTCTATCATCCTGCTTATATTTGCTGTTCTTTCTCTATTTAAGGCATCATTATATTCCGACTATACCTCAAAAAAATTCCTACCACCTATTCCAGAAACAGGTTTTGGTATGGCTTTTCCTTAATTTTTTTCCCCCAGATTATTTTTACACTGTGTTTTTTCTTCCCAGTGATCTTGCAGTAGTTGCTGGCATTTCACAGAAAGTGTTTGTTCTGAGAGATAACAGGACTTGTCCTTACAAAACACATAAAAGTTATGTGTTTTTTAGGTCCAGATTCATCTTGTGCATCCTTAGATACAGAACTGAGTAGCCTACACTCTGAACACAGCTGCCCTATGGACTCAAGCAGCTGACAGAAAAAGATCCTTTTTGAGGATCTGATTTACCCTATGAAGGTGTCTGTGTCATTGCACTGGCAATAGACAGACTGTGGTTAGTTGTGGTTAGATAAAAGGTAGGAGCATAGAGACAGTGATGAAGGTAATCTGGCCCCTAAGGAGTTACAGCTGTGCCAGTTATCAAGCATTAAGAACAAGCCTGCTCTTAATAGGCCACAGCTGGATCCAATTAAGAGGGGTATTATAAAAGAGCAGGTTGGTCGGTTGAGAAGGATGGAATTTGTTGCCTGTGCTGAGAAGAAGGAGTCAGGGCTGTGAGGAGCTGCTTGTGAAAATCACTGAGAAGGTATGAAACCATTCCAATAGGACAGCAACGGTTAGTCACTTTGTTTAGGTCCCTAAAGTGAGATAGAATGAGTCTAGGTCTGCAACTGTCATATTAATGTGTGGTAAATAGCTACATTATTGCACTGAGCTAGTCAATTTATTCTGTTAAAATAGCCTCAATATTATTGAGATCATATATAATACTAGTACAGTTCAGTATGAACCTCACTACAAGGAAGAAGGAAGAGAGGTATTTTACTAGGCAAGGATTAAACATAGATATATAGAATTTGAAATATTAGCAAGCTGGTAGTTTGGAGGAGGCATATTCCCAGTTGTTCAAAGTAGCAAGTGAAGTTAGAGTTTCCCACAGTGAAATAAATGCTATCTGCATTACCCATATGTCATGCTTGATTTTTTCCCTATTAAAATATGTGTGAAAATTTTGCTTACAGACATTCTAAATGTCACCTAGAAACAGCAGTGCTGTGAGTCAGATAGAGGCAGAAAGGGCAGGTTAAGTACATGGAGAAGGTAGCCAGAGGATCTAGCGAACAAAGAAAATATCTAAATAAATAACTTTAAAAAAATTATTTCCATTTCTTTCAATTTTTCAACTCTTTCCTGTCTTCACCTAAGATTTTAATATTGTTACTAAGTTAAACTTCTCTAAAAATAACACAATTCAACAGCTATCAGCATACTTTTCTGTTACAAATGCTTTTCATACAATTAGGCAAATTTTCCAGGAGATATCTGAGGTAATGACTTGGGATTAAAGTGATGACAAGCCCACAGAAGAGAGAGAGAAGAATCATAACGCGTCTGTCTTGAGCATCATTCATTGGTTCTGGATTCTGCACTGTGTTTTCTATGTGCTTTTACTCCTCAGTTGCTTTTTCTCTGACTTTTCTTTTTATTAAGGAACTCCCTGAGGAAGAAATGAATATCTGTTTTTCATTTATACTAGATAAGGACTCTCAATATCAACTTTCATCTTAGAATGGCTTGAAGTAGGGAAGACACCAACAACAGGAATTTACAGTGTCAGGTTCTGCCATGTCCACAGATTATTTAGATCGAGAGATCTTTAAAATTTTGGAAAAAAATTAATTTTTCAACTAAAACCATGATGATCTAATTCAGATTTTGTTAGGCTATTGCCATTTCAGAGAGAAAAAATGGATATTTGTAGAGAACATGTCTCCTGCTTTTTAATTACTCTCAGTGCTATATATCCCTTGAATGATATACTATAAAATACAATATTGCAGGTCTGATACTATGTTGGCCTTGAAATTTATTTGTGCAGATTGATCAAAAGTGAATGTCAGAAAATCATCTGTCAGTCACAGCTTGAAATGTCTTTTAAAGGTTTTTTAAACCTTTTAGGTTGATGAGAACTTTACATTTCTCTCTCACAAGTTGACCTGCTACATGGATCTTTCTGATATCATGGTTGAATTGCTGCAGTATGCTTGATTGCGTGCTGCCAAAAAGGTTCATCTATCACCTGCAGCTAGAGCAGATTTCAGCAGAGTAAGTGTTTGCAGGTGTGGAATGGAGGATTCTGCTGCTCTTCAGGATTGCTGCATGAACTTGGTATAATGAGTTAAGCTTCTTTTTTTTCTGGCATAGTGTCTGCCTCTAAAATATTTTCTGCAAAAGCCTAAGGCTTCGAAAGTTTCCACAGGTATCAGATCCAGCAGAGGAGTTCTGATGGTGAATCCACATAAGTCATAGCTCTCCCTGGGATCTGTGTGCCTCCCTTAGCTCAGTCTATCCACAAACACTGCATGAGCACCTGGTGTGAGTCTTCCTAAACATTCTTTCAGAAAGAACTGTATCCAATAAGCTGCCCCTCTACCAACATTTTGCAGGCTTTTTTTTTACCATAGGTCTTGTATTCTCAACTCTTACTATCAGAGTGATTATTTCTTTTAAAAAGTTTTGAGAGATCCTTTGTGAGGATAGGGAAAAAACCTGCTCAATTTATGTAGTTTAAAACAAATAATGATAGAAGTGGTATATCAATTTATTGATGACACAGAATCAACAAGGAATGAGCAAGATATAATTCAGGTCCAATATGAGTCATATATAATAGATAAACAAAAATAATAGACATAAAAGAAATGTTAATGCATACCTTTGTAAATACCTTCTATAACGAAAGGTGTCCAGAAGTCTAATACTCTCCACCATGTATTCACAGTTAACTGCAGTGACCAGCCAGGTAGTCACTAAGCCCTTTTCCTCTTCAGGGAGCGCTCCCTGCACCTGCAAACTTCTCCTTCCCTGGAAGATGTGGGTGCTCCAGCTCTGTGCCTTTCCCACCCCTCCCAGCTATCCCTGCACCAGCCTGAGAGTCCCCTGTTGATAGCACAGGCAAAAAAGCATGGGTCTTTGCATGCTGCACCCTGCACTGCTGCTCCACAGTCTGCATGTAGACTACTTGTAATGTCCAATGGAGGCACTAAACAAAAGTCTTTCATTAGCTAATAATTTTAATTGTAAACCCTTGAATTTGAGGATATTTCCTACTCTGAGGGACTCTACAACATGAGTCTCAAGTGTCTGAGCAACCTTACTGTGAACCACAGTGTTTGGAGTTCTCAGGAGCCTACCTACTTTCTATTATTGATGGGTAATTATTTTCACAAAGAATGTTGTGAATTTAAACCAGAAATTTCTGGAAAGACAGACTTTAATAATCTGAAAATTAGGACTTTAATAATCTGAAAATTAATTTAATATCCTGAATAGTGCTTTGTGTTCCTGTTCCACTGGATGCAAAAATGCAAACAGAAACTGCCTTTCATGTCAGGTGAAGCTTATATATTGCTTTTATTTATTTCTGATTGATAGAATATAATTAGCATGGGAAATTCTAGTCTTAAGATTTTCTACAAGCAAAACATGCTGTTGTTTCTGGCACTATAAATGTACATAGCTCTGTTTCCTTTTGAACTGGTTATTTGTATCAGTAGGAAACAGTTATATCAATTTACTTCAGTCATATCCAATATACAGAAATCCAAAGAGTATCTAATTTATTAAGTTTAAAACATGAAAAAAACTCTGAGATCTGTGGGCCAAATCCATCTCTGCTTTGAGACAAATACACATAAAGCTGCCCATGTACCAAAAGCAATCACAATTTACATGTTTTAATGTAGGTATAAGATTACAATGAAGACACAGTACAGGAAATATTAAAACTAACATAAGATGTATAATGAATATTTGTATGGCAGTATTTTATAATATGGGGTAGTATTTTTCTGCCTAGATTTCTGGTACACACAGTCCTGCTTCATCTCAGTGTGCAAACCAGTTTCAGTTTATTCTCATGGTAAACTGTGATGAATTATTTATTTTATATATATATATATAAATTTTAAAAAGTATTTTCCTTACCCCTAAATTTAAATAGATGATTAAATCTATGAGATATCCACTGAGCCATTGGAGACTGAATTTGACACTCTGGACTAAGTTCAGAAGTGTCATAAATTAATTTGTAAATAAGTTGTGTATGACCTGGTATAGCAAATATGCTAGAACACATCTAGCATAGACATCTAGCATTTTTAATAGAAAAAAGAATCAGCGAATCTATGCAAAATATAATTTGGGGAAGCAAGATATATTCACATATATATTAATTTAGTTCTATTCCTCTATTACCTCTTCATAACTGTTAAGTAATTTGTATATCCTGACTTTCCTCTTCCTAGAGAACAAGCTAAGTGACTTAAAACAAACTTATCATTTAAGAGAGAGACAAATATTGAAGAGACTGCCTGAAACAGATCAGAGAGAGGCCTTGTGCTAAATTTAGATGAGCTAAGGTTAAACCCTATTGATCAAACATTATGGCTTGAGAGAGTGATTATGAAAAGGTTTTATATAATTAGTTTTATATAAGCTCAGTAGAAAGGACTGTTAGAACGGAAGCTATCAGAAGTAATACTGACAGGCTTTGCAAATGCTATGCAGATGTTTGATTTGCCTTTGCATGACTTTGTCCATCTCTGCAAAAGGGTTCTTTGATACTGAAAATAATATTATAGCTTTCTAATTCTAAAACAGTTTTGGAAAAATTCTTGCAAATAATCCTTCTTCATAATGCACCATCTTATATGATATTACAAAACAAATCAATAATAACAAAACTTATGTGTAGGATCAGATCTTAGAAAAAAATTTTGACACCAAAATCGGAGACTAATTGCCAATTAAAACTGTAAACATTTCTGTATGGTATTTCTGTTCAGCTGTTCTATTTGAGGAATGTAAAACATGACTAACTACATCAGCAGGTGCGGTGTAGGTGTAGTGTAATTATACATTGACATTTTTTCTGAAGCCTACAAAGTATTATTTGGTACTGGCTACCATTCTAGATGTAGACCTGATTAAAAATAATTGAAGGATCAGTTATATATTAAAAATACTTTCTCCTGCAACTAGAAATCTTAGCAGGAATTGATTGTTCAGACTGAAATATGGACTTCAAACTGCAAAGGAATATTATACTAGTTTTAAGATTTTTATTTCTGTCTTACTGTACTATTTTTTGCTTTAATGACAAACATTTCTAAATTTATTACCAGTTGTGCTTTTTTGTATATTTCCAATTTGATATTAATTTTAACAATTGTGTGTGATATTGTGAATACTGTTAAGTCAGTGGCTGGTTAAGTGACTCATTTACCAGCAGTCCTTGGCTAACGATGTTGACTTGCTGTTGACTGGAAACTAGCAAGTGTTACACACATATACAAGAAAGGTTGTAAAGAGGACCTGGGGAAACTCTCAGACTGACCTCTGTGCCAGAACAATCATGGAGCAGATCATCCTGTGTGCCATTCTGGGGTATGTATGGGACAACCAGGAAATTGAGCCTATTCATCTTGGTGTATGAAGGATTTGTGAAAGGCAGGTCCTGCTTGACCAGCTTGACCTTCTGTGACCAAATTACCCTCTTAGTGGATGAAGGCAACATTATGGGTA